TCCTAAAGGAAAATTGGTGCAGCGGAAATTGCTGTCCGGCAGTCCTGCAAGTGGACCCGGAAACCCAATGCCCGAGTGGCGCGACCTAAGCAAATCGGATGAAGGATTGACCGATCAAATACTTGTGGCAGGCATAGACACAGACTCCACCGAGAGCACCAAGCAGAAGAAGGATCGTCAAAGGCAGCTGAACTATGATGCGTGGGTGCAGCTCAAGGACAAGGAGAAGAAACAGAAGATTCTGGCCGAAAGACGTGAAAGTGAGAGACTCGAAAGGGCAAACAAAGAGCGCATGGAGGAGTCCCACAGGATGGTCGGAGAGTGGAACCTTAAGAAGGAGCAGCAGATCCACGAGGAGCGACACAAGAAGCCTTTTGTCATCCCCCAGAAGTACAGGGCCACCTATGTGAGATGTCCACGGGAGACTCCAGAGGAGCGCAGAGAGCGCATTCAGGCATTGGCGCGCCTCAATCACATCAAGGCGCAGCGCCTTGCTCGCCAGCGTGAGGAGCAGCAGAAGCTTCAGGAGCGTCGTTAGATGGCAGAGGGAGCCTTTTCCAACCAGATGAAGAACCTGCAGAACCGCCACAAGAGGCTTCCTCCGCGACACACAACCCAAAAAGAGATATTTTTACATTATTTGAAATAGTTTTTTGATGCTGCATCATTGGTGTTCCTGCCACTAATCCAATCAAGAGGAAACGCCACTAATATTGGTAAGTAATTGCATAAATTATTGTCTGGATTGAAGCTCAGCCCAGCCTCCGTTCATAGTCCTCCACTGTGCTGTACCTACGGAACGGAACTCTTATCAGATATTTTTGGATTCATCTGTTCAATCCATCAAATATTCCTCCGACCTTTCTCAAGATTTTGTGGACAATCTATGAGGTGGAAGACGACATTCCGCCACAGAATGAAAGACGTTCAAGACATGCAAGAAACATTTCAAGACGCCCTCCCCTGTGTCTTTATTTTTCACAATCACAATCAAAATTTAAACGTTAATTATTTTTGTTCGATATCTGAATACTAGAAATAATTTCGGCTAAATCGTGGTAGTTGCTTTCTGCTCTGAGAATTCGTTCATTATAAGTACTGCCCGACTCGTTTTTCCTCAATTAACCAAACCAACTTTTTATACACGGTACTCGAAGAGTAAATAGGATATTTGTACGGAAAAAATTGTACACACAGAAGGAAGCGTTTCCGACACCATAAAGTATATTTTCTGCTATCTGCTATATCCACAAAGCCGCTTTGCGATCCGATTAGATCATTGTTATAGCCAGAATGAAGATATCCTACTGTGTACCGGGTACAAAAGTTGTGACGCGTAAGAAGCGTCTCAAACGTCCTTCCTTTTTTCAGAGAGATGTTCGGTTTGTCTGCTGGAGCAGCCAGGAGCACAAGCGCATTAAAATGAGGTTGGTGGACACTATATTCGAATCAAAACTCAAAATGCCATCTGTCAATCGGGGTTCTCTAAGAATATCACAGTTGAAGTCATCTGCTAGGCTTATGTCCGTATACATTAGTTCAATGTCATTATATAATGAAACAAAGAAATCATTTCGCATTTTAAGCAGTTACAAATATGTTTGCGGAGTCTATTTTATTTATTTATTTAATTTATCTTTTATTTATTCATAACGCACACAAACAATTAAAAATGTACCGTCATAAGGAACAACTGCGTCAACACAACTGCGGTTGCTTAGTGCATATTATTTGTACAAATATAACGCTTTTGAGGCCATAAATAATATGATGAACCGTTTAACAATAGCGTGACCAACGCTAACAAGCGTCCTCTGTCCTCCACAACTGTGTGGGATCAGTAGGAGTCGGGCTACCTGATACTGGATTAACTTGAGAATGGAGATGAGCTGTTCTGCGGTGGATTACTGGATTAGCAATAATTATTTGTACACACTTGAGGCAATAAAATAAAAGAATATTTCACAGGTAGCCTCAGGTAGCTGTGCAAATTGTACTTAAACGTCTTTTGACTCTCGAACTATGGCAAATATTTGCCTAGAAAATAAATTTCAAAATTGAGGCAACCTCTTGTGTGTGTTGTTCTAATGGAATGTACGTAGCTATAGAATAATGATTGCTAATGCACCAAAAATGTGGCAGATGATGAAAAGCCATGGAAATGAATATAATATTTTAACTACTTTCGGAGTATTAATTACTTCTCATATTTAATTAATAATTGAATATTATTGTTGATGTACCAGCACTGCAGCCGTTTATTGAGTGTCCAGAAGTATGTTTTAAAGTGATTTGAATTGGTTAATGTGTAGGTTTCTTGTGGGTTTGTCCTTTGCGAAGTTTCTCGAATCCGTCAATGAGGAAAGAAGTCCAAAAGCGGCTGTAAAAGAACGGCAAGAATCTCCTTAAAGTGATTTAAACTCCATTAAACACTTACCAAGCTGGTGCTATTCTGTGTTCTAGTATATTTGAAGATGTTATTTTAGTTTCGATTTGGAGCCGCAGTCGTTCAGATTGTACTTCAGACCAGCCCAAATGGCAATGAGCAATGTGGCCAAGTACATTAGCAGACAATTGTCAACGTTGGCGCCGATCCAGGCAAAGGCCAGCAGGATAAGGCTGATCATAGTCACGAGTACTGCCGACAGGCGCTCCTTGAACAGATACTGGACCCATGCGGCCCAGTGCTCCTTGAAGCTGTAGATCTGTTCGCAAACATGTTCAAATTTCTCTTCGTGCTGCTCATCCCAGTCGAGGGCATTTCCCAGCCAGCGTGAAATTGTTGGTAACAAATAGTGGAATATATTTACCACGAAGACCAACAGAAACAACATCGTGATGACCGACAGGTCCAAGTACCACAACGTGGCATAGCTGATACTTATGCCGACAAACAGCAGCCCGGGATAATATTGTTTCTCCCAGGTGAGCAATCGATGGGCACTCTCTATGGCCCCCTTAAAGGGCTGCAAATCCTGCACGAGCTGCTTCACATTTTGATTTGGCATTTTTTGTCTCTTTATTTTGATCTTTTTAATGCAAAAAGTACAATTTTCTTCTGCCCGCTGACGCTTGGTTCTGCTCTCAAAGTATGTGTGTAAGCACACAGTCAGCAGTCAGGGATGATAAAGTCAAAGTATCGAAGGTGCTACGATGATTTTGTGTGGATTGCGAACTTGGCTGCAGATGCAGAAACCATTCAAGTCTAAGAACAACCTGAGCATGAAGATTGGCTGTGAAACTCGAACACACAGACTGAAGCTATAAGGAACGCTCTTTCACGCCACTTTTTCAATAAAAATCCTGGCCAATTAAACAATTAATTTATAAATTATTCAAACAGTTCAGGAATTTTCAACAGTCTGCTGCTCCAGCTCTATTCTCCTCTTTTTTAAGGCCTTGTTTTAATTTTCTTTCCCCAGGCATATTGTAGCCTGCACAATTTTGATCTTTGATCAGCTGTTTTTTGTTTTCTTTAGTGATGAAATTTGGAAAAATGTGCAAATATGCGCAATAGCAATCAAATATTTCGAATAGATGCACATTAATCAGAAAGTCAATTAATCATTTTCCAAATTTAGCAACAACAATTTTCGAACTTAGTTTATTTATTTTTATTTCTGCGTTTTCTTTTGCGAAAAGGATGAGCGAGAGATCTTGTATACTTAGACACTGTCTGTTTTAAGTTAACATAATAAAGCAATTCTTGAATGACAATTTTTCATGCTACCATTGTCAAAAACTAACTCAAGTTAACTAAGTATAAAAGTTGTGACGCGTAAGGAGCGTTTCACACCCGACGTGCAGGTTGCGAAATTCGCGTCGGGGTCACCAAAAACTAGTTTCAATTCCGTTTATTCCGATAGCTTGCAGCGCTGTGTAGCCCAGTGTCCTATGATGTTAACCCGAACCGGAGTGTGCCGACGGAGGGGCAACATTAGTCATGGGACTTGACATTTTTGCGCCCAGACCGCAGATGGAAACCCAATCCATATTTGAAGGTTGATTGGAATTGCTAGCTAGATTGGATGCGTCCTAGCTCTTAAAATGGTTAGAGCCCTATGCCTATGCCACTAAGAGACAACAAAAGGAATGGAAATCGCAATCACAATAAAAATCTGCAATTTCCAGCAAATATTGAATTGCAATCAAAGGAGCGAGTGAGTCCCAAGGTAGATGGAAATCAAGTTGGGAGTTCTTTGGCTGCAGCTTTAACCTGAAACTGATGGATCTCTCTCCCACTCTCTCTCTCTCTCTCTGTCTCTGTGTGTGTGTGGTGTCAGTGGGTACCTGGATTGGGGGTGGTGGGTTGGAGTGTGCGGTGTGCTCGGGTGGCGATGTGTTAATTTTCTTTGCAGGCACGTTCCTGTCATTGCCACTAGCCCATGTGCATTTTGCTTTGCCTATTACCCATTCCCCTGGCTCATTTGTATGCCTGAGTGCGTCGACTGTGCGCCCAGCCGCCCTGGATCGTCCTTGGCCAATGGCCTGTTTGCTTTTCATTTTCCCTGTACCCACGTCCCACGTCCCTTGTCCCTTGTCCCTTGTCCATCCCCCAGCCACCTAGTCACTCCTATGCTGTGTTTGCGTGTGGGCTGGTTCGCATTCTCAAGCAAAAGTCAACGGCGCATTGGTTTTGAATGCAAATGGGCAGCAAACGAGCAGAAGCAGGAGGAGGAGAAAGAGAAAGATAAGTAAAAAGCGGCGGTGGAGGTGGAGGAGGAGAAGGAGCAGGAGCAGCAGAAGGTGTGGTGGGTGGAAGATGAGCAGCAATTTGCATGGCTTCTTTTCTTTCCTTCGTTCTTTCTTCTCTTCCACGCCAGCTCAACCTCACTTCCTCCGATTGCTGCCGCTGTTGCTGTTGCTGTTGCTGTTGTTGCTGGTCTGTGGCGGGCTGCGATAAGGATAAGCTCCAGCTTGATGACTGCAGGAAGGCTGCCGCTATCCAGGGACACCTTTTGGCGCCTATCGTCTTTCAATTAGTTTAATTAAATTGCAATTTTCTTATCCTGCAACGCAGCAACGAAAAGGCAGAATCTGGTCAGCTAAGCCCCCTGTTTATGCCTTTTTTTCTTTTTGCCTTCCGTCTCCGTCTCTGTTTCTGTTTCTGTTTCTGTTTTTGTTGTTTTTTTTTCCACTTTTTTCGAGCTGCCTCGGCATCAGATTCGGATTATTTCTTTTGCTGTTTTGCCGCCTGTTAATCATTGCTGCACACTTTGCTGCGCTTTCAAATGGCATCAAAGTTCTCATCTCTTCTGCTGATCCAGGCTCAGGCATAAACTTAAAGCTAAAATTTAATATTTAATACAAATTGTAATAAAGAACCTCTGAAGAGTAACGGGCCCAAGAATATGTTCAACGGGCAATGACTGCACCATCAAGCCTGTTACGCGCGGAACCCAGCAGAACGCAGCCCTCCTCCCGCCCAACCGACCGAGGGGCGCTGCCGCATGACGCGATAAACCCCTGAAGGGTTCGTGTGCGGCATAATTCGATCTACATAGTGGAAGGAAGGAACAAAGGAATAAAGTTTCTAGCGGGTCTAATGGGAATCGTAAAGTTTATGCGGCTCAACAAGTCAGGGCTGTCTACATCCCCCTTGAGTCGCAGACTTGCGACTTGAGACTTGACTTGCTACCTTTTTAATGCAGAGGAATTATAAAGGACTCCTTCCAGATGAGGGGAAAGCTAGAAGAATGGATGGATCGAGTGAATAATGTGTCAGGTCTTGTGAGACCTGGACTATGAAAAGTTCCGACGTGAAGCAAGAGTTTACGTTACATCATTAGACGTTCAGGTCAGGGGCAAGCCGAGAGACAAAAACTTGCCGCTTTGGTGGGACTCCCACCAGAGGTTTTGGCACCACAGATATCAACTGGTGCGATCGAAATAGATGGGATATGATGTGGCTTTGGAACGGACTCGACTGACTCGGACGCTACAGTACTAATATACTAATGTTCTCCAACATTAAAGCTTTTCGGTTGGATGTTCCTCGGATTCTCTACTGCTTTTTTGTTGTTTTTTTTCACACCCTTCACTTAACCAGCCTGTGCCGTTGTGCAGCTCATTTGGAGAGGCGCCAAAGTTATTTTTACAAGTATCCCCCCAAAGGTATCCCTTGACCTCTCCCTCTTCCCCCCCTGTGAAAAAAATGTAACCAACTAGACACCAAACAAAAAAAAAGAAACGAAAAACGAAAAACTGTCTAAAGTGCGACCAAATGACCTTTTTAATTCGTGGCCATGCACTTTTTTGCGCTGCTTCATCGCACCTTCTCTCTCTCTCTCTCTCTCTCTCTCTCTCTCTGTCGCCAGCTCTCTTTTAACCGCTATGTGTGTGTCCGTCTCTTTTATTCGCTCGGCATGTCTGGCACTCTTTTGGGTGTGAAATGAAATTTGCAGCTTTTGGCGCAGAAAGAAAGTTGCAAAGATTTTTTAAGCGTGTCGCGTGTTTCCTTTTCGTGCTCCCTTTATCTTTTTCTTTCGTTTTTGTTTCGGGTTCCCTCTCTCCGCTGCTACCTGCTCACTTTCTCTGTCTCCCTTTCGCTCTCCCTTCTGTGTGTGCGTTGTTCGTGTAAATGTGTTAATGCGCTTGCCGCGCTGCATTACTTACGTGATACTTGCCCAGTGTCCTGCACAGTCCCCCAGTCCCCCAGTCCCACAGTGGAAGGATACTGGATAAAGAAAGAAGAGCTTTCGCCTCTTTTCAGACACTGTGCTTAAAATTCTGCTACCAATTTTTGTCTGCAAATGAAGTTGGTGCTTGTGTGCACGAGTGTGTGTCTCTGTTAAAATCAGCTTAGGCATTAGTGCTGGTCCAGCCACATTCCAACACTCGCCCACACACACACACTCCCTCCAAGCACTAGACCAACGCCAAACCCAGCCCCACCCGTGCTGTTTGCCCAGCTTGACTCAACTCGACTCGACTCGACTCGACTCACCTCGCCCATGTGGCTAAGGTCAAACCCATTTGACTCTCTGAGCAAATTGCAGCGCCATGCTTCAGGCGGGCGACATCGTTACACCTCACCAACCAGCGTTGCCAACCAAATTAGTGCAAAAGCAAGCGGCAGTGAGCGGCAGTGGGTAGGCTAGGGTAGGGTAGGGCAGGATAAAAACTGCCAACGCTGCATTTAACAATTTTAATGGATTTTTTACCCCCGCCGCCGCTGCTGCTGCTGCTGCTGCTGCTGCCGAGGCAACAGTGCCAGAAATTGAATCTTTAAACTTGACCCGCTGCAGTGAAATCTACTCAGCAAACGGAATACCCCACACTGAATCATCGCTCTTAGCAGCTGGACGGAGCAAAGTACTGGCCTGCGTGTCCGTCCAGGCGGGCGTCAACTGTACGGACGGACACGGACAGGGTATACAGCGCGTATAAAAATGTACAAAAAAAATATACACATATATATTCCCTAAATATTTATTTATATAATTATGTCAGTTGGCAGCTTTTAAGAGTTTTTGCAAAGACCCGAGACCCCTTAACATTCCCATGCGAAAATGTTTGTGCGTTTTTGGCGGACAGGACGGGGGAGTGGGAGGACACACCTGTATTTTGTGGAGCGTCTTTTTATTGTCAAGCAAAAAAACAAATGAAAATTCCTGCTTGATGTTTTTCGTTGTTTCCGTGCACCGAAATTGTCTTTTTGGCGGGCCGACGCGCTAATAAACAAATAAGTGGGAGTGGCGGACGCTCAATTAAGGCTATTAAGCGTTACTACGGAGCGAGAGAAAAGGAGAGAGAGAGAGAGAGAGAGCGAGAAAGAGCAAAAGCAAAGCATTGGCAGGCATTTGGTTTTATGACTCTGTCTATAAAAATTCCTTAGTTGAAATTTATTTGCTCCATTAGATGGCGTTTCCTAGAAGCAGATCTCTCCTCCACCACCTCCAACATCCAGCCAGACCCTCTCCCAGCATAATGATTATGCGTTTGCTCTTATGTTTTTATTGGTAGATGGCAGATAGTCCCACTCCAAGTACCACCACCCGCAGCGTTTAAGCAAATTCAATAAGTCAACTCCAGGAGCAAAGAAAATAAAGAAGAAAAGTTACTTTTCCTTTGGTCTTTGGTCTTTGGTCTCTTCTCACAATCCCACCCACTGCGACCAATTTCGGTTTATTTATGAGCGATACAAACGAATAAATTAGCGGGACAAGGGTTCGACCTGCCCAGTAACCGCACTCCCAAATCGCACACACACGTAGTGCTCTCCAGTCTCGAGGAAAAAAGAACTCAGGGAAAGGAGTACTTAAACGCTTTGCTGGTCATTCGTCAACCACAAAATTTGTTCGTTGTTCGTTGTTCGGGCCTAAATAGCCGGCGTTTCACCATAATAATCCCGTAATTTACACTCTAATTTAAATGAAAATCATTAATCTATCCTTAACCGCGAGTCCGTGCATTTTTATTGTGCAAACGCACAATTAATTTATTTGTTTATTGCCGAAGTTGGTTCCGTTTCTAGGCTGCTCCTTTTTTTGTATCTAAATAAATATTATTCAGTTTTGATTTATGATTTATTCCACTACAGCGCACAAATTTATTTAATTGCAGAACTTGCATTTTATTGCTCAGTAATAGTTTCAATTTATTTTTACTTTAGTCTACAAGAACTTGGAGCTGTTCAATCATATTTTTAGCGCATCTCTAGGCACACAGCGTTATTGCACATCGATATTCATCGCATCGTCAGCACACTTTTGCCATCACCTCCGACATTCGCCATCCGCCATGTGCTTTGCGTGTTTGTTGTTTTGTTCATTTTTTGTATGTGTTTTTATTGGTTTTTATTAAGTGGATCTGCTTGGATCAATGCCAAAAATAGTTCGAAATGTGATTTGGCTTGCAAACTCTCTCGAAGTGTAAGCTGTGTTTCTTGGCATTTTGCGTAGTGCTTAGACTTAGCATTTACATTTTGGTTTCAGCTGGTTTTGGATCGAGTCTTCGTGTGAGTGTGTAAGGTAAATTACTTATTAAGCTGCTTCTGCACAAGCAATTACCTTACCGTATGCAATAATTATTATTTATTTGAATCTCTTAAATCTGCCTTGCCTTTGGTTATCCAAAGAAGACGAGGGCAATGCCACAAAGGCACAGCGGCATCGCAATGGCAATGAGTATATGAACCATCACCGGTGCGCATTTAAGAAGGTCAAGCAATTTGGCAACTTGCACCCAAAGTAGCTCCAACAATCGAAGGAGCCAGTCCGTGGAGTCAAACTCGACTTTTTGTGCATTTTCAGCGAGGTTCTGGTCAGTGGTTAGCTCCTGGTCACCATCGGGCATCGGCATCGCCAATAGTGTTGGCTTTTGGGTTGGCTCATGGGATTCCATTCCTGCATTCTCATCCTCCTCCTGGCAACGCATCTCTTCTGAAATTATTCTCAGTTCTTGCAGTAGATCGACGGGTGTGTTGTACCAATTTTGCTGTGTGGAAGTGTTGCTCTTTTGCAAATTTTCAATGTGTTCCTTCGCTTTCATTTTATTGCGAAGGGCACCAAACAATGTCGAACTTCCAACGTGCAAACGGCCAATAATGGGTCGTGGCAGTACCTTTAAACACTTTCTGCCATTTGAAGTGTCTTTGGACTCGTATTGCTTGTGCTTTCGCTTCTGGATATCCTTGTGTCCAAGTGGCTCATTGTGCTCTTGGTGTATTTCTGTCATCTCAAGACGATCCTCGCCGTGGCCTGTTGCTCGTTGCAAATCGTGCTCGGCTGCCTTGAAGTTGGACTCTGAAAACCAACTAACAATTAGTTTCCTCTTCACATTAGTTCTGTGCAAAAATGTACAAATTGTACTTACCAGTTTCTTGACTGTAATTTGCTTTGTTATGTTTCATTTTCTACAACCAAAAACCGAAAATCAAGAGAATTTGCTGTGTCTGCTCTGAGCACTGGAATTATACTTCCAGGAGACGTCTACTTGGATTTTTCGAACAACGAGCAAGTACACGATGAGCATGCCTTGTAATTTGCAATTCAAATATCAAAATAGAAACTAAACTTAGCTCTAAACAGTTCCAATTCATACACAGCTCTCAGTTCGGATTGTTAGCCAATAAAAAATCTGCAACATGGACTGCTTCCGCGTGCCTAAAGTTGTCAATAGAAACGTGCTGAAGGCCATTTATTTTTTTTCGGAATGCATTTTGTTGGACTCCATACCTTTGTCTTCCATTAAGCTGGAGGTGGCCTACACAATTCGCAACGCCAATCCGGTTCAAGATTTGGACTCCGCAATTGAGTCGTCGCTGAAGAACTTTAGCTTAATTGGCATCCTAAAAGAGACAATCACGGCCAGCGATGAAAAGTCGTATGAGCTGCTGTTGAAGCCTTCAATCAAGACTTAAAATCTCTGGGACGATGTGCCGAGAGGGAGACCCTACTTGAAGGGTCCTCAAGTAATGTAAGCACAAATTTGTTGTGTCTTTAGCTTGCTGCTAATTTTGTGATTCTTTTAGTTTTGTTTTCATTTTTTGGGAAGCTTTCGAAGGCAGCATTTCACATGACAAAGAGGGAGAAGACTTTGGAGATCAACCATACCGTTATCATTTGAAACTGTTGCTAAATAAAATTATTATGTCATAGTTACAGTATGCAGTTGTTGTGTGTAATTGTAAAGCAGAGGCCGGCAGCGTTTTGATCTCGGACAGCGCAGTCGGCACACGCAGCGACAGAGAAGCAAGAAACGTTTTTGCAATGGTGCCAAAGAAAGCTCTCTCTCTCCCTCGCTTACTCTCCCTAAATGCATGGTAAATAAAGATCCGCTATGCACAAAGCAAGAAATGCGAAAGAGAAGCAAGTAACGGTGTGCGTGTGTGCTGGTGGGTGATCGATCAGCAGCAGCACGCGGTACCTGCTTCTGGCATACACCCTTACACCCTAAGAAAAACGTTAATACACACTTACAATAAGTACAACCTTCTTTGCGGTGGATTAGTAGGAATAAGAGGCAATATATTTTACAACCGTTAAACCTCATCTGTGGTGGATTAGTACTAAATATTTACGCACGTGCATACACTAGAAGGCAATAAAATACAAATCAGTACAACTCAGGTAGCCGTAACTCAGAAAATTGTATTTCAAGATGCATTTTGACTAACATTTTGTTGTGGGTAGGCATTTTACAGTGCCATGGTTCAGGCTTTCTGTTGCTTTTTTTTGTTGGGAATAGAAACCTACTTTGTTATATTGTTGAATGTCCTGCTTCTGTTCCCTAATGGCTGTTGTCCTGTGTGTCCCCGCACTGAATCCGGCGGCAGCAGCAGTGCACCACCAAGGCACTGCGGTTGCCCAGTGCTGCCGGGGGTCCAGTAAGCAGTGCGGCAGCTGCAGTCGGTCGAGGTCTCATGTACAACGCTGCTTGCATGTTTGTTGTGTGTGTGTGGGGGGGGGGGGGGGGGGGGGGGGGGGGGGGGGGGGGGGTTGGAAGAGGTGGAATGTGTGCTTTCTCTTGCCACAAGAAAACACTCAAAGGCTGAAAGGATTTTCGCTCACAAGTGGCAACCGGAAGTGATGTGCGGCTCAAGAGTCTACTTCAGCTGGCACGCACGCACCCACCCATTGACGGGAGCAAAAGTTGGTGTAGGAAGGATCACACGGCACTGGACAGGGGCAGACATGTTGAAAGGTGGAAATTGAGGCGATTTACTTTATACAAAACAGGCTTCATCGCCCATTCCCATGGCCATGCCGCAGCCGCAGCCGCAGGTTTAATGCACTTTCCCCACTTGGCGACTTAGCAACTTGTTGATGGAATCATGGAGAGGAAAGGAAAGGCGTTGCCCAGTCGGTCAATGGAAAAACGAAACGGGGGGCACCCAGCAGCGAATTTCTCCTAATTAAGTCGGAAAAGGGCACAGGGCTGGACGCAGCAGCAAAAGGAAATATTTATGAAAATTACTTCGACGTCGCACAAATAAATAAAACGAACCAAGTGAGGAAGGCGTTTGGCCAGAAGGAAAAATTGTGCACACAAGCAGCTGAAGATGGAGATGGAGATGGAGTTGGAGCTGTTGCTGGGCTTCTGGGGCCAACAAACTAATCACAATAATCACGCTGAAATAAAATTAATAAAAATGCGTGGCCCGCTGGCACGGCAAGGAGCATTTAAGAACATAAATAAAAATTAGCAAAGCCAACAGCCCAGGACTCAGGATCTCAGACTCTCGGACTACGTCTGTGTGTGTGTGGCCTGCCCTGCCCTGCCCCGCCCCGCCCTGCCTTGGTAATAAAAGCCACAAATATAAAGAAATTACACAAAACTGCGACGGAACTGGAGATGTAGAGGAAGCCGGCAGCAGTAGATGACCGGAAAAGTTAAAGCAGCTAGCGAATAAACGAAAAACTAATAAAAGCCTTTGACCAGCGTCCTACAGTCCTCGGCCCCTTGGCCCCTTGGCCACTGCCCCCCACAACTTCTCAGCGAGGCAATGAACAAACAAGCCTGCAACAAAATGTGCCCTGAGAAGGCGGCACAGGGCACAACTTTGGATTTGTAATGGCCTTCCAGCCCAACGCCAGCCAGGCAGCCAGCCAGCCAGCCAGCCAGGTTCTCACCTGCTACTTTGTTTCCAGATACGTTGGTGGAGCAGGTGAAGTGAAACGAGCACGAGGACCTCACTAATGACGACGACGACGACGACAAGGAGAAGGTGGTCTTTGGGTGGCCCTCGTTCTGCCACTTGTTCTAATTGAAGTCAACGAAACTTCCGATCATAAAAATAATTAACTTTTAGTGTAAAATGTAAGAAAAGAAGCAATTCCAAAGGGCGAAAAGGGAAGTCAGTGCGGGCTTCTAATTGGAGTTCTTCGCATCGATCAGGTCCATTTTCGTGTGTGAATTATGCCAGGGAAATAGTAGAACAGAAGGGGTAACAATTTTAATTTTTATATGCATTTATTTTCAAGTGTTTTCTGTTTGCATTTACTACTTACAAATTGCATTTATTCATTGATTTTAGAATTGTTTTTCATGTCACAGTGGTCACATTTTGAAGTCTCTCTCGCCTGCAGGCCAGGCCTCTTGACTATGCTGCCGGAGTTATAAACAAATAAGCAATGCAATAATAATATGCACAAAATGCGAACGAATGTGTATTGCCTTGAGGGAAATGGATGGGAAATATGAATGTGAAGACTGATCCAACAAACTGGCTGTTTCCATTAACAAAGTCAAACAAATGCAAGGAAAAGTGAATTGAATCGAGTCAACGTTTTGCACCAAAAACAATAAAGATTCTGTTACCACCCGCTGCAGTCCCCCCTCTATTGATAACATTGAACTTTTGACATCAATTGCACTTAATTTATGCAGCCAACAAATTTCGATTTTGCGCCCAAAATTATGTTTGTTGGCTCCATTCCCGCCAGGCAAAAGGCAACAACAAAATTGCAAGAACAACAATTGCAAAATTTAAATAATAATTCAGACACACACGTGTGTGTGTGTGTGTTTTGTATATTAAATATATACATTTTGTATGGCTATCCACTTTGTGGAGGGGTTACAAACAATTGGCATACATTTCCACACAATTTTCGCATTAATTAATTGTAGAACGACGAAAGGCGAACTGGCTGGCTGTGGCTAAAACCCTTTTGGATATGCAGTAAGGCCAATTCTGCAACTCGAACGGAAGGACCCATCCCATCCCATCCCATCCCATCCGATTCAATGCCCGGAGACCAATTAGAAGACGAAGTGCACAGAGAAATTTAATTAACATTTTCAAATGTTTTGCATGCCTGGACATGTTCTCTGGGTAGTAAAAACTTTCGACGGTCGGTCGGTCGCTCGGTCGCTCGGATGATATTGGTTCGCTTGTCGCACCTTCAATTCGGGCTTTGCTCTGCCCCCCACCCCGACCCCTTGTGTAATTTGTCCGAAACTGTCATTGGGGGAAGTGGGTCTTTAACCCCTTACCCGAGTGCTGATTACTTTGACTCCTCCTTTTGTCTCCCAGCTAGCCCGCATCGTATAACAGAATTTCAATGGAAAATAGTTTTTATGACACACGTTGCTCCCTCTCTCCAACACTCTCTTTTTCCCTTTCTACCGCTTCCTCCTCTCTCTCTCTCTCTCTCTCTGTCACTGCGCTCACGAACACACGAGCACGTACACACGTGCTCAGTGCGCCAGAGAAAGCTTTTTCATGGATCATGTTCTCCCTCGCTCGCCCACGCTCGCTGTAACCCTCTGCCTGTGTGTGTGTGTTTGGTGTCGAGTGAAAAGTTCAAATGCAAAAATGAAAATTAAATACAAAATGCTAAGTACTTCCATCAGTGGACCACACCACCTGACTTTTTGGCCAACACGAAATTTCTCGCAATTTGGCAAAACATTTAGCCAGCTTTGGCGTGGAAAGGGCTTTGGCTAATTTTTGGCGTATTCCACCATATTTTTGTTGGCTATTTAACTTTAAGTTTTAATTGATTAAACAACCAAAATTGAGCGCTCCAAAAGCATAAGGTTGTGTGCGAGCTTTTTTATGGCTGCTGCTAATCCTCCCTCTCCACACGCTCACAAATTTTTCATATTTATTCTTTGCTTTCGTCGTGTGTCCTAGCTACAGCTACAGCTCACCTTCTGCTCTTGTTCTGCTTGTCATTTGGGCTTTTATTATTATTACTGTCGACCCAGAACCCAGTCCAAGTCCCAGTCCCAGTCCCAGTCCCAGTCCCATGCCCGCCCACCACTGTGTAACAGCAACAACAAAGAGCTTGCTCGGATAATGGAATTTATTTTATGGCCAACAGGTAAGACCATTTTGTTGTCCCTTCTGCGTGGGTGTTGGTGCTAATTTTGCTTTTGCTTTTGCTTTTACTATTTTTTCCACGACAACTGCCCCACTCCCACGCAGCTCAGGAACACGAAAGAATAACGGGAAACAACGCTGTCCATATGCTGTGGGGGAATATTTTTTAATGCCCCGCCCGAGGGCGCAAAAAACAAGCGAAGAAAGGCGACATTTTCGGTGCGACACCCGAAGACAATTAAAATGTATTCAACGCCCTCCTCCCTCGCTCCATCATCCCCAACAAGTCCGAAAAGAATGGAGAAAATATCAACATAAATATGTAATAAGCGGCATTCCTGATGAAAGCTTGGGTGGTGGTGGGGGTGGGTTTAGGATGGAGCAGGGGGACAGCTGTCGGCATTATGCGACTTACATTAGCGTGTTAATGCAATTAAAAAGTCTGCTCAGGGCAGCAACAAAAAAGGGAGACAGCTATACATAATAGCACAACAAAGGCAATGAATCTTCGGACCCCGCCCCAAAAAAAAAAAACAAAAAAAAAACCCAAATTAAAAGTGCTTTCGTTCACTTTTGTCAGCATCCCCAGGGAAAGAGCTGGGGAAGATCTCAAAGTGATCTAATTCTTGGGTTTCATTGTTTTTTTTTATGTTTCCAACTATCTCAAAGAAGCGCTCTCAACATATTTAAATGTTAATTCGTTTTGCATAAATATTTGGTGCAATTTTCACAACTAAATGACATGAGATCCGCGCAGTCATCACCTTTCACCATTGGCCTGATCCTGTCCCGAGCCTGTCACTCATTTA